TTTTATACCATACACCACGATGTTAAACAGAGTATTAAGTATTTGTGGGTATGTCTGAGTGAATTTTCAAGAACTTCTATTGGCGTGGATTTTTCAAATAATATTTTACAAGGTTTAATATAGGCACGGATTTATTAAAGACTATTTTTTAAGACCTAATATAGGCGTGGAAAATTAAAAACCAAATTAAGAGTGGGCTTTTTTATGTGAGCGGTATACAAATCATGATTATGTTTTGAATCAAAAGTATCAATTCGATTGAAAAACGTGAATCAAAAGTATCAATTCGATTGAAAACCGTGTCCGACGTCCCCAAAATTCCGAATAATGGGGTTAACGTTCTCTGTCGGCCACCTGGAAAACATGGACCAATATTGATTATTCTTTGTAGGGGTACTTTCTGCCCAATGAGAATGCAAAATATTAAATTGGAGCCACTTCGGTTGAAAATCGTGCTGAATAATGGATGCAACGCACGATAGGGCCTAACTAGAAACATGGACCCCTATTGATCATTTTTGGTGGGGTGATTTATATTGCACTGATAATCCATAACATTAAATTAGAGACAATTTAGTTTTAAAAAATGGTTATTGGGGCTATCCCAAAAAGTGGACTAATATTGATAATTTTTAATAAATAGCAAAATTTGGTTTATAAACGTGTCCAAAAGCTTCAAAATATTGAATATTGAAGAATATATCCCATCAATATTTTTCTAAAATAATTTTACGCAAATCTGATCAATGGTGGACTTGCCACGTCTGAAGCCGCATTGGTATGGTCCAGTAATGTCGTTGACCATTAGCTTCAGTCGTCCACACAGCACGCTGGTTAGCACTTCATATGCGATGGGAAGGAGACTTATTCCTCTACTTATTCCACATATTGTCACCTTTTTTGTGCACGGGACACAGGATGCTGAGGTTCCTATCATTGGGCGTGCATTCCTCTAGCCAAATTGTACTAGTCAGCTGGTACATGCTCCTGAACAGCAGCTGACCACTGGTCTTGAATAGTTCGGCTGGTAATCCATTGGCACCTGCAGCTTTATAATACTTCAGCCGATTAATTGCTATTCTGACCTCATCTTGGATAGGTGGCACACACCGTCGTTTCTTTTTATACCCTACACAATGATAGCTTTTTTGCAGCCCCAAGAGTTTGTAACGCCGCGAAATATTGGTCCTACCCATATTTCATTATACTGATATTCATATCTCGACTAGCTGAGTCGATCTAGACATGTGTGTCCGTCCGTCTGTCCATTATAATTTGTAAACTCCATACAGACCTCAGTTTTTGCCAATCTTCACAAAATTTTGCATGTAGGATTGGTTCTGGCAAATGAAGATCCCTGTTGTTTTTGGTAAAAATCGGTTAATAGTTAAGGGATGAAATGGACTGACCTCATCTAGGCTAGGTGGTACACACCGTCGTCTCTTTTTATACCCTACACAACTATGTTGTCAGAGAATGATAGCTTTGTGCAGCCCCAAGAGTTTGTAACGCCGCGAAATATTGGTCCTACCCACATTTCATTATACTGATCTTCATATCTCGACTAGCTGAGTCGATCTAGACATGTGTGTCCGTCCGTCTGTCCATTATAATTTGTAAACTCCATACAGACCTCAGTTTTTTACCAATCTTCACGAAATTTTACATGTAGGATTGGTTCTGGCCAATGAAGATCTCTGTTGTTTTTGGTAAAAATCGGTTAATAGTTAAGGGATGAAATGGATCAAAAATTTAATTTCTGTCTGATTTTCTGGTCGTTCCAGAGACCGCTATTATGACCAAAACATCGCGAATTTTTACATGGAGAAGGGGAACAGGCCAAAGAATAAACATACCTGTTTTGAATAAGATCGGTAAATATTTAGCGGGTCAAATGGACCCTGACTTTTGTGTGAAACATTACAAACTTTTTATTATGTAGTGTATATATTTACCCCTGAAGGACGTAGACCCGAGATACCACTTATATATTTTCGTATATACTCTGATGTGGGAGTTACACTTAAATATTTACAGTTATTATTTTGTAACCCATTACCACACTAGAGGGCGGAAATATAGCGCTGATCGCTTTTAAATTTTCCATGAGGTTCCAGTTATGGTCAAGGACAACGCCTATAATTTTAGGTGATGATCAGATAATAATTTTGGGATGAAGTGGACATAAAATTTATTTATTTATTTATTTTTTTTTTTTTTTTTTTTTGTCGAGTCGATCCATAGGCCACAATTATAAGCCGAACATCACAACACAACCCACGGAAAAGGGAATCTGGACTGTACTGAATATTAGTAATATTCGGAAAATATGTCAGTGTAAGGAAGAGGTACTGCTGACCTCTAATCGGGCAAGAGGGTGCAACTATCACGAAATATCGTCGAGGCTCGAAATAAAAATCCGCAGAAAGTTAGAGTTCCGTGGTAGTTGTGTAGGGTATCGTATGGTAGGCCCCGTCCGACTATACTGCTCCGCTCACTGGTTGGTTCTAGGGTATATTCTTCGCCGTCACTATTTGATAGCAGAAGCTTTGCAAAATGCTCCTTCCATATCCTCAAGACACTATATGTATCTGTCACCAGGTTTTCCATCTTCATCTCTACAGGAGGATGTGCCTGCACCAAAGCCTTCGGTTTGGTGTTTTACCCGTTAGTAAAATTTTTTGTTCTGACTCCTGTACATCTCTTCCTTCTTTTTTCTGAAAACATGGTTCTACTCTCTCCTTTTGTCTCGATAATTTTCCATCGTATTAGGTGTTCTTACTGTCTGCTGTTTTCGCCTCGGTAGCATTACCACACTCCTGATCGCTCCACGGGACTCTTTATTGGGGGATTTAGTACCCAAGTGTTGCTTTTGCTGCAGTTTCGAGGAAGTGGGTAATTCTTTGCCATGCGCTTCTATATTATTATCGAGACAATAAATGATTTCGTAAAGCAAGTGGCTAAGTTGAGTGGAATAGGCTTCTGCTATCTCTTGCGTTTGCTGATTTTCGATTACGAGTTTCCGTGTTGTGTTAGATCGCACCTTTGTTGCTTCATTAAGACAGTTGCAAACTTTGGCTGCCACAAGGTAATGTTCTGAATCGATATTCGCTCCTCGGATCGATCGAACGTCTAAAACACTGGATGAATGCTTTCCGTCTATAACAACATGCTCGATTTGATTTCTCGTTGCTTGATCAGGAGAAATCCAGGTGACCTTGTGTATATAGAGATGCTTGAATCTGTCTAACTATATACCATGTTTTGTTTTTCTGCCGCGAAGTCAATCAACCTCATGCCGTTGTAGGATGTTTCTTCATGGATGCTGAATTTTCTGACGGTGAGACCAAAAATATTTTCCCCTCCGATTTTTCTATTAAAATCTCCTAGTAAAATTTTAATGTCATGGTCAGGTCAGCGGTCATATGCTGTTTCTAGGCGCTCGTAAAATATGTCTTTAATCTGTTCATCTTTTTCTTCCGTCGGAGCATGGGCGCAAATAAGACTGCTGTAGAAGAACTTCGCTTTTATACAGATTATAGCAATTCGGTCATCTACTGGAGTGAATCTGGAGACGAGGTCTTTAATTATCCTATTAACCATAAATCCGAAGCCAAATTCACGTCTCGTTTCATGACAGCTATAATACAGGGCGTAATCATCTGATTTACTTACGCCAGTCCCATTCCAACGCATTTCCTGTAAGGCAATAACATCGGCAGATACACAGATCGTGAGGGTCGTGATTTATTAAAAATATTTTTTCAGGGTCTAATATAGACACGGATTTTATAAAAGAAAAATTTGTACGGCTTAATAAAGAAACATTTTTACGTCCTAATATAGGAAAAATTGTACGGCCAAATATAGGCTTGGATTTTTAAAACGAACATTTTTCTCGGCCTATGAGCATTTATAAGGGGGACTTATTAAATAATTAAGTTTTGGCGCGGATTTTTTTAAGAATATACATCCAAAAGCTTATATAGACATGGATTTTTAAATGGGCTAAGTCATATCCCCGTATGCTGGTCCTGTACAATTTAGGGTACCCCAGTCTCAAAGCTCCCAGATTAATTTTAAACTGAGATCGCTTATGAGGATTAGTACGGAATGCAAATTATTTTGTCAGTCCCTGCAAATGAACGTTCCAACTATTTAATTACAATCACTTTAGATCACTTTGCTTATCCGCTACCTACCTACTAAGTTTTCATCATCTTCTACATTTAATTAAAATTCTATCTGAATTGAATGCAAAAATTTCCCCTCATTGGAAGCCATAGTTTTGAAAATAGATTTCCTTAAAAGCCGCCGAGAGAGATGTTAAACAAAACGATGTGCGGTTAATTATTGACATCAATGCGATTGTGATGCCATTCGATAGCCGAGAATTGGCGGTGAGGTGGAAATTGTTCATTGCACTGCCACCATAAGTGAAACTGGTGGAGGAAGTGGGAAATGTAAGCACCTTCAAACAATAACAACAACAATAGCAACAGCAACAGTTTTTCACGAACAATAAAATATGGGCTTGTGAATCAACTTGACAGTGAACCTCAAAGCAGGCAGATAGTCATTTGACACCACAACAACATTTTTTACAGCTACATACATACATAACTAGCCAAGCTGAGCACCGACCAACCAGCCAGCTAGTCGAACAATAAGTCAAGTCAGTCAAGCTGTTAACTAGCTAAAGACCCACAAAAACAAAACGCGAAAAACATAATGACCGACAAATGCAATGTCGGCAATAATACCATAAACGGGTGAAATAAATTTCATGCCTGGTTAAATATCTTTTTAACACAATAGCAAAAACAACAACAAAAACAATAAACAAACAAAATATGCCATCATATACAAAATATGATACATTTACAACAAATGTTTACAGTAATGTAAGAACTTTCCAAGTGAAAAGTGGCGAAAATAGAACACCAAGCGCTTCTACATAACCTTAATTTTTGTTTTTGGAATATCCCCAAAAAAAAAACTTTCAAAATAGCTACAACAAGGAAAAAACCCAAGGAGTTGACATCCTTTTGCATGTGTCGTCGTCCATATCCTCGGCGACGTTATTATCACATACGTCCATTGCATTTACTGGGTCCCAATTCGACCAGTGAAATGGAAAGCGAGGATACGGATAGTAAAGATGAACTGGAGCTGCCATCGTTGACAACAATTGCTGATGATTGTAGTGTCCTATTTCTTCTTCTTATTTTTATTTTTTTTTCAATATTTTATTCAGTTATTCTTTTTCTTATTTGTGTTTTTTCTTTTTTTCAGTACCTGACAAAGTCTATGACATCAATGCTGGTGACAAGGATGCTGAGGTCACATTGGAATCTCTGGTGGCCAAAGAAGAGGATGCCTGGTGGAATCAATTACCTTTGAATAATCTAGATTTAAGTTCAAATCAACTGATACAGCTATCACCAAAAATCGAGAATCTTTGTTCGTTAACAACATTGACGGTAAGTGAATGAAGCAAAAATATATTAAAAACAGTGAGCGGAGCAGTATAGTCGGACGGGGCCGACCATACGATACCCTACACAACTAACACGGAATTCTAACTTTCTGTGGATTTTTATTCCGAGCCTTGGTAATATTTCGTGATAGTTGCACCCTCTTGCCCGATTAGAGGTCAACAACACTTCTTCCTTACACTGACATATTTTCCGAATATTACTAATATTCTGTACAGTCCTTCTAATTCCTTATCCATACTCCCTTCACCGAGGGGTGGGTCGTGATGTTCGACTTATAATTGTGGCCTATAGATCGACTTGAAAAAACATCTAATATTAAGTTTTCGCTCCACTTCATCCCAAAATTATAATTTAATAATCGCCGAAAATTATAACCGTTGTCCTTGACCATAACTGGAACCTGATGGAAAATTTCAAAACGATCCGCGCTATATTACCGCCCTCTAGTGTGGTATTGGGTTACTAAATAATATTTGAGTACGTAAGCTCCTATAAATATTTAAGTGTAACTCCCACACCTGAGTACATACGACAATATAATTTATATCAATTTAAAGGCCAACCACTCCTCTTGGATATACTATCAACTTCTCGGGTCTATGTCCTTCAGGAATAAATCTGTACGCCATAGAATACAATTTTTGACATTTTTCACCCAAAAGTCAGGGTCCATTTGACCCGCTAAATATTGGCCAATCTTTATCAAAATGCTTATTCTTTGGCCCGATCCCCTTCTCCATGTAAAATTTCGCGATGTTCGGACCATAATTGCGACCTCTGGAGCGACCAGAAAAACCGACAAAAATTAAGTACTTGGTCCATTACATCCTCTAAATATTAACCGAGTTTTAGCAAAAACAATATGGGTATTCATTGGCCAGAACCCATCCTAGATGTAAAATTTCGTGAAAATTGGTCCATAACTGTGGCCTGTATCGTGTTTATAATATAATGGACGGACGGCCACACATGTCTAGATCGACACAGCTAGTCGAGATATGGCGATCGGTATACTTAAAGGAGGGTCTAGGACCAATATTTCGCGGTGTTACCAACTCTTGGGGCTGACATCATCGTTGTGTAGGGTATAATGATCAAAAATAGATCAAAATAATAAAGAATAGAAATGGGCTCTATTCAGGGCAATCTTCAAACCCAACCGCTAATATTGGAACGTATACGTGTTGTCATAAAGTATACGCCACATATTCAGCATTTATGTGTGCTAAATAGAAGATAGAGAGAATGTTTATAGACTGGAGATCTGGAAGGAGTTTTAAATATGCCCTGAAGAGAGTCTTGGTCGATCTGAAAATTACGTAAATTACCATCCCTGAACATTATGATAGGGTTCGCCATAGCTCATTAAGGAACGCTCTTGGGGCTGCACAAAGCTATAATACCCTGACAACATAGTTGTGTAGGGTATAATGATCAAAAATAGATCAAAATAATAAAGAATATAAATAGGTAAATATCTATAATTTTAGGTACATTCATGTTACCATGAATAAATAAATATTAGTAAAAGGTATTAGGTAGTTAAGTCCAGATATCGAATTTAAAAATATACTTTTATATTATCGTAATTTTATTAACATCTTATTATATATGGACTCATGTGTATTTGGATAATGATTTAAATTTCATTTATTTTTTAGCTCCATGACAATGCCTTAACCTCAATACCCAAAGAAATTGGTAAACTGGAAAAGCTAATACGCATCAATTTGAGTCGTAATCGGCTGAAGGAACTACCGCGTGAATTTTTCACCCTACCTGATTTACGTTACCTGAATTTGTCACATAATCAGTTCGAAGAACTTAATCCCGATATAAGTGATCTGCATATGTTGGAGTTTTTGGTAAGAAATCGATGGATAGATATAAAATAAAAATAATATTCAATATTTAATCAATTTCATTGGCGCTTTAAAATATATAAATATTAAAATTCTAATGATTTTTTTTTTTTTAATTAATATTCTACATCAAATTAAAATTATAAAAACCTTAACTAATACCTAAATCAACATACCGAATATACAAATTTTTAATACGATAACAATATTTCCTATGATATCAGGTAAAATAGCAAAAAGTGATAGATTCTTGCAGTTCTGGAAAAAACGAATTTTTGAAGGTTTATGGAGATTTAAATATTTCACAGAGAAGGGCTACCTTAAAAATTACAACGATACTAATGACAATTTCATAAGGATTTTTTGATAGGAAAATATGTATCCTCAGTATAGATGAGGATATTTTCCCCATTGAAAAAAATCAACCAGAGCATAGCTGAAGCTATTTTCATATAGAAAAATACGTAACTTCGGTGTAACTGAGTTTAAAATTTTCATCAAGAGTCTCCTACCAAAATTTACCTATGGTCTGATTCAAACATGGGGCAATAGTTTGACTTGAGGGATTATGAATATATTGAAACCATTTTTTCTACAAATATGTTTAGAAAAGTTTGACACAGTCGAACATAACGGGATTTCACATTGTTCGGATATTCAGGAGTAACTCGGAACGTATTCGTGTTGTCATAAAGTATACGCCACATATTTGACATGTATGCATGTTGGGTACGAAATAGATGAAGTCTTCATATGCGAGCTGGAGGGAGTCTTTGTAGACGAACAGCAGGAAAATTTTAAATGTTAATTTGCAGGTCTACAAAAAATTTTCTTCATCTTAACTTAATTACAGGAATAGTGATACAGTATATTGGTATATTCTAAGGGGTCAAACTCTTTTAATGAACCCCAGGAAACTTAAAGAAGAGTGCAGCTTCATTATTTATATTTATGAAGTTACTGTGATTAACTGCTCCTTAGTAGTTCGTAATACAAATTAGTCCCTCGATGACTAATATGCGGGGATTTATTGTCAAACAAAAAGGATAATGAGTTGCATAACATTGGAACGTATACTTGATGTCATAAAGTATACGCCACTTATTTAAAGTTTTTGTATGCTGAGTACGAAAAGAGACTGGTGATAGACGACCAGAGGGGGGAATTTTTATATGCGAGCTGCGCTAAGTCTTTATAGGTGAACAGGAACTATAGGAGATCTATGAAGTAATTTTCTTCATATTTCAGTGATTATAGGCAGATTGAGAGAGTTTATTCTAAATATTCCTAGTTGTAAATTTCATTTATTCATTTAAATTTCATTTATGTTTGTGTAGTAAATTTTATAGTATTTATGTATTGAGAAACTGTCTCTGAAGATCATTATCAACATCTGTCTCTGAAGGACGTCATAACATTTTCTGATCCTCAAATAACAAACTCTTCCTTGTTTACTATTCTCATCTATAGTTAAAAGACTCCAACCCCCTATGTATACATAAACCTGACTATTATTTATTAATTACCTAATATCTTAACCTAAAAAAATTAACACCCCTGTTTCTCCTACCAACAACAAAAAACTAGGATGTATCAAATAATGAACTTAACGCTTTACCTGGTGGTATTGGTTTTTTGGTGCGTCTAACAACGCTTCTACTAGCCTATAATCATATTAAAGAATTACCACCCGATTTGGTCAATATGCGGTGTAAGTAAAACATTTTCCTATCTAACTAAAATTCCTGACGAATTAATTCGTAATTTTTCCTTTCACAGCTCTTCAAAAATTGGATTTAATGCACAATGATTTAATTGCTCTACCCGAAGACATGGGTAGCCTGCGAAAGCTGCAATGTTTATATGCCCAACATAATGATATCAAAGAGTTGCCCGATTTCGATGGCTGTGATCTACAGGAGCTGCATGTATCCAATAATTTTATAGAGGTAAGTTGAAGAGATTTTTTAAGCTGCACATGGCTTCATCGAAGGTGGGATATCTGAAATAATTTCAAATCGTGGGTTTGATATACAGAGTTTTGGAAAAAGTTACATCAAGGGTTAGATATATATAGTTGTGGAAAAAAAATCCGTATTAGATCATAATGAGCTCTATTTAGGGCAATCTTCAAACCTAAGCCACTATTAAATAGTAACCGGTGGAACGCATATGTGTTGTCATAAAGTATACATCACATATTCAGCATTCCTGTAAGCTCAATATCAAGATAAAGAGAATGTTTAAAGACTGCAGATCTAGAAGAATTTAAAATATGGAGATCTGGAAGGAATTTTAAATATGCCCTGAAGGGAGTATTGCTCGATCTGTGATTCGAAGACGTAAATTAACCCTTACCAATTTTATAAGTCGTGTTTAATAAAATTTCGGTTACAATTAAGCCCAATGCGGGATTATGGTTACGTTCGCCATAGCTCATTAAGAAACGTAATTCTGGCCAGCTTCCAACCATTACCACCATCAAACCTTAAAAAATATATTCTTATATCCACATCTATTGCACTAACATTGGGCCGTATACGTGTTATCATAAAGTATACGCCACACATTCAGCATTTCTGTATACTCAGAAGAAAGATAGAGTGTTTATAGACTGGTGATCTGGAAGGAGTTCTAAATATGTACTAAAGGGTGTCTAAGACGATTTGTGGTCCAATGATGTAAATTAACATCATTTAACAATTTCCTTATATTTAAACCTAATGCGACATTATAATTGGGGTCGAATTAAGGAGCGCTATTGCCACCAGCAACCTAGGGAATTTATATATTAAAAAAGTGGACTTTACAAAATATTCTTAAATGCCGTCTTAATCGGCAGAGAATGTGAACATTGGAACGTATACATGTCATATACATGTCATAAAGTATACGCCAGACATTCAGCATTTCTGTATGAAATAGTGTTTATTGACTGAGGTCGGAAAGGAGTTTTAAATATTCGAGGAAGAATGTGATCCGAAGACGTAAATTAACACCCTTAGTAGTTCTAATGCGGAGTTATGGTGGCGTTCGCCGTTAAGGAGTACCTTTCAGATCAGCTTCGAACCCATGCCATCATCAAATCTAGGGTAATGCACAAATTAGAATTGAAATGGATCTTAAAAAAATATTCTTACATGTGCCCCTATTGCACTGGCATTGGACCGTATACGTGCTGTCATAAAGTATACGTCACACATTCAGCATTTCGGTATGCTCATTAACTGAAGGTCTGGCTTATTGACTGAAGGTCGGGAATGAGTTTTAAATATGCGCTGAAGGATATCTACGTCGATCTGTGATCCGAAGACGTACATGAACACCCCTTAGCCATTTTAGATATCCTGCTTAATTAACTTCTTGTTACAATTAAGTCTACTGCCGAATTATGGTGGCGTTCGCCATAGCTCACGAAGGAGCGATTCAGGTCAGCTTCCAAATCATGACATCATCGAACCCACGGTAAATGCATAAAATTGAAGTGGATATTAAAAAAAATATTGTTAGATTCACGGCTATTACACTAACACTGGGCCGTATACGTGTCGTCATAAAGTATACGCCACACATTCAGCATTTCGGTATGCTCAGTAGGAAGATAGAGTGTGTGTTTATGGACTGGAGATCTGAAAACAGTTTTAAGTATGCACTGGAGGTTTTCTACGTCGATTTGTGGTCCGTTGGGTTCGCATTAAGGAGCTGTATTCAGGTCAGTATCCAATTCGTATGATTATCAAACCTAGGAGATGTATAAATTGAGAAAAACATTTTTTAATTCAATCTCAGTTGGTAGACCATGCGACTGTATTAAGTAGTAATCGCTAGCATTGGAACGTATAAGTGTTGTCATAAAGTATACGCCACACATTCAGCACTTCGGTACACTTAGTAGGAAGATAGAGTATAACAATAAAGTGAGTCTAGGTCGATCTGTTATCCAAAAACTTAAATAATCATCCATTAGCCATTTCATATGCCGTACTTACTTTACCTTCTTTTACATTTTAGTCTAATGAGACGTTATGATTGTGTTTGCACTAAAGAACACTACTCAGAACAGCTTTTAAACCTTGCCATAACCAAACCTATGGGATGCACACATTATAATGAAAGTAGATCATGCAAATATATTGACACATTCAAGCAGGGTTATGGTGGGACCCAGCTAGCAGCTAGTAGAGCAAGGTACTGATTACCTAAAGGTTCGCAAAGTTCGTGCCTCACATTGGGCGCAATATTTTTATATTGAAGTCTAATACGAGAAAAGGTTGATCCTGAATACCTTTAATAGGCTAAACACCTACAGAATTCCTACTGCTCCCGGTACTCTAAACAGATATACATTTTACTGAACACCCTGATCACTAAATACACGGAACTCCCTCATTTTCAAATCCCTTGCATTCCTGCCTTTAGAATATTCCAAAACAAAACTACTTGTTTATTAATTATTTCCTATTTGCTTTTTATGTCCTTTCAGAAAATACCAAAGAGGCTCTGCTCCCATTTGCCACATTTGAAAATTGTCGATTTGAGAGATAATAAAATCACCGAAATACCCAATGAAATTGGATTGCTACAAAATCTGACACGCTTCGATATATCGAATAATTCCATAACAAATTTACCCTATTCTCTGGCGTCGCTGGCCCATTTGGTTAGTCTACAGGTCGAGGGTAATCCAATCAAATCGATACGACGTGATATTTTGCAGTGCGGTACGGTGCGTATTTTGAAAACATTGCGTGAACGTCAGGAGGGTCTTGAGGCAGCAGCAAAAACCTCAAATTCATCATCATCGCTGACGGGCAGTATGGGTGCCGATGGCCTAAATAGTCCACGAAGGGGTCTAAGTTTTGAGGAGGAAAATTCCATATTTCCCGATAGGTAAGAAAATTTTCGTTGGAAAACCTGGGAATGAGTATTATTTCTTTTGACTGCGGATTTACGAGTCTAGTTCTAAATTGAATATGCTCTTGATACCTCTCCGAAAATTAAATGAGAAATCTCCCTTCAGACAATATAAAAAATAAAAACATCTTGAATTATGACTCAGAATAAATAATTAAAAACAATATTAAATTTCTCTCATTCCCTACCTCTCTTTACATCTCTTTCCAGATACAAACTCCATAAGACCCGTTGTCTAACTGTTACCATGCAACAGTTAACCGAAGTACCCCGCGAAGTTTTTGAAACCGCCAGCAATGAACAAGTGAATATTGTTGATTTATCTAAAAATCGTTTTACCACCCTGCCGGAGGGGTAAGATCATATATAATTGGAATTTTTGAAACACTTTTTAAAAAATTCTTCTCTCTTCTTCACTTTTTTAGCTTATTGGAAATGAAAAATTGCTGTACCGAATTGGTATTTGCCAATAACCAGATCACCAGTGTGCCTTCATTTATATCACAATTTACCCGTCTGTCATTGGTTAATTTATCCTGCAATAGTCTACAAAATTTACCTGAAGAATTTGGTGTTTTGGTGACGCTGCGGGAGTTGAATATCTCGAATAATAGGTAAGACATAAAGACTCCATCATTTTTCATAGGCTTGTTCCCGTTTGAAGATATCTTCTAACGTGATTCCGACCATTACAACGGGAAGTATTCGAACGACATCATCTGAGGATGCTCCACTCGTATCATGAGGAGTTTACAAGGCGTCATTTTGCCAGCTCTTCCACTGTGTATGCCTTAACTCAACATCAGCACTAGCTCATAAGGAGCGCTATTCAGAGCATTTTATCTTCCTTTCTACCATTAAGCCTACTGCTAGCTTAGTCAGTAGAGCATGAGACCGTATAAAATAATAATCGCTAACATTGGATCGTATACGTGTTGTCAGCTTAGTCAGAAGAGCATGAGACCGTATTAAATAATAATCGCTAACATTGGATCGTATACGTGTTGTCATAAAGTATACGCCAAACATTCAGCATTTCTGTATGCTCTGTAGGATCTGTGGTCCGAAAACTTAAATCAACAACCTAAGTGTTGTTGCCATTTAATTAACCTTTTGTTACATTTAAGCCTAATGCGTCGTTATGATTGGGCTCCCGATATTTCATTAATGAGCGATATTCACGTCAGCTTCCAACTAGGGAAATCACAAATTGAAAAAAATGGATCTCAAAAAATTTATATTCCAGCCTACTGCGGAGTTAGAGCATGAGACTATTAAATAGAAAACGCTAAGTACAATTATCCACATACGTTGCAATTAATATGCCGACCGGTGGTTGTGGAATACCAGAAAGGTTGAGTTTAAACAGAGAACTTATTTCTTTACTTCACAAGTCTTTGACATCCTGGTTCTGAACTCCATACCAGGAAATCAGTCTGTAGAGCATAAGACTGTATTAAATAATAATCGTTAACTTTGGATCGTATACGTGTTGGCATCAAGTATACGCCACACATTCAACATTTATGTATGTAGGAAGATATAGAGTTTGTTTATAGTCTGGAGATCTGGTAGGAGTTTTAAATATGCACTGAAAGGAGGTTAGGTAGACCTGTGGTCTGAAAACATATGTCTACCAGTCGTTGAGGAATATCGGATTTGAGTTTTGCGAACGGAGAAATCATCTTGGTGAACTTCCTTCTTCACTCTATTAGTCTTTGTCTTCCTGGTTCTGAATTTCATACCAGGAAGTCAGTCTGTACATAAGACTGTATTAAATAATAATCGCTAACATTGGATCGTATACGTGTTGTCATCAATTGTTCGCCACCTATTCAGAATTTCTTTATGCTAAATAGGAAAAGAGAATGTGTGGTTATAGACTGGAGAGCTGGAATGAGCTTTAAGTATGCACTGAAGGAAATCTATGTCGATCTGTGGTCCGATGACCACACCTTGGGGAAATTCCTGCTTTACTCCTCGAGTTTGGCGTCCAACGGTCAATGCAGTCGGAGGTTTGTCTGTTCGGTTACACGCTCTGTTCTGGTTCTCTAATAATCAGGTATGTTCTGGATGTGTTTTTTACACTTCACACATACACTTCCCCTCAGAAGTTACCTACTTCTTACGTGAATTAAAAAACGAGTAAAGTGTGTTACAGAAATGTTCAACGTGTGTTCGATACACTTCTACCATTGAGGTGAATATCAGAAAATGCCCGAAATAGTGCTATCGTAATGCTTTGTATATTACGGAATCCTTATTGATGTTAGACTACTGTAAAACTGTTTCCCATCAATGAAAGGAGTAGGTCCCCAAGTGTCTTTGCGGCAGAAGTAAAATCGGTAAGCATGTGTCAGATTTCACGAACTACATAGCTAATGGCAAGTTGGTGGCTGATGATAAGTGCTTAACTTCTATTCGATGTAGTATTCCTCTTCGTCGTGCCAGTCTCGAAATGGTCTATTAACTTCAGGTTGAAATAAGTTCCGCATCTCTTCAGGTCTGTCACGTTTAACTCTGACTGCCGTTCTATCATCCTTTCTCCCAGAATTTACTTTTTCTCATTAAAATTCGTGTAATTGATCATTACCGTCGCCTCTGCTGGGAAATTTCGTATTCGGCTATTCCAGTCATGAAGTCATGATTTTACAGATATTCCTGCCACCAACCAGGAGGAGGTGATTTGAAAAATCTCAAACAGCAGTTCAGTAGTCAGACGTTATAAAGTTGTTGTTGTAGCTCTACTGTTTTTAACCAATGACCTGAAGTGAAATTCAGACTGAGTCGAAATTCAATAGACTCAATACCGCAGTCTTCAGGTCTCTATATATATATTTACAGGTCTTTTTGGGAACTTTTATAAGACGTGGATTTTTTGATTTTTTTTTTGGCAAAAAAAATAAATGGGGCTCTGATAATTGTTAAAGGTTCTTTATGGCGTGAATTTTTGAAATATTTTTTTAGAACCTTTATAAATCGTCATTTTTTTGGGGACCCTTATAAGGCGTAGAATTTTAAAATAATTTTTTGGAAATCCACATAAGGCGTGGATTTTTTAAAATATGTTTTTGGGACGCATATAAGAATTTAAAAAATTTCTTGAGTTCTTAAAATATTTTTTGCGGACCCTTATAAGACGTGGGTTTTTAAATTAATTTTTTGAAGACCTTTATAAGTCGTGGTTTTTTTAACTATTTTTTGAGGACATAATTTCAAGACGTGGATTTTTAAAATATTTTTTACGGACCCTTTTAGGACGTAGATTTTTAAAATTATTTTTTGAGGAGCTTTATAAGGCGTGGATTTTTAAAATGATTTTTTCCCGGACCCTTAGCTCATTTCGGCTTGCCGACCTTCTATATGTACTTCAGATCTATAAAGACTCAGTTGCCTTCAGTTCGTCTATATAGACACCCTGGACTTCAGCTTGCGTATATTATGTTCCTGGTCCGGAGCTAGCCAATATAGTCTCTCTGGCCTTCAGCTCGTCAGATTCCCTGTTCTTCAACGCGTCTATATGGACTCACTGTCCTTCAGTTCGCCTATATAAACTGCCTAGCCTTCAGCTTGTCTATATGCACTTTCTAGACTTTACCTTACTTATATTGTGTTCCCAGTCCTCAGCTCGTCCATAGAGACTCCCCGGTATACAGTCTCTATATATAGACTGTCAAGCTTGCACTTTGTATGGAATCCCTAGCCTTCAGCTCGTCTTACAGTCTCTCCTACCTTCAGCTTGTCCACATGGACTTCCTGACCTTTAGCTTGTCTATATATATTCTTCCTAATTGTCAACTCGTTTATATAGACCTCCTGACCTTCAGCTCCCGAATATAAGCTCTCTGGACTTTAGCTCGTCTATATTGACTGCCTTTCCTTTAGCTCGCCTTTATAAAGACTGTCTGACCTGTCATCGTCTACATGTACTCACTTGCCTTTATCTCGTATATATAGACTCACTGGTATTCAGCTCATCTGCCCTCAGTCTTATGGACTTATGAAGGCCAGTAAGTCTATAAGACGAGCTGAGGTATACATTTAACAGCTGGACTTCAGCTCGTCTATATAAACTCACAGTCTTTCAGCTCTATCCCTGATATTCAGCTCGCGTTTATAGACTCTCTGCACTTCAGCTCGTTTATATTGACATCCTGGCGTTCAGCTCGCCTGTAGATAGTGTACATGGACTCCCTGGCCTTTATCTCCTATATATATATAGACTCACTGGTCTTCATCTCGCCTTATAGTGTTACAGACCCTCAGCTTGAACACCTGGACTTCAGCTCTTCTATATACACTCAGAGTCTTTCAACTCGTTTATATGGACTTCTAGTCTGCACTACTTATATATAGACTTCATATCATCTATATGGATTCCCTGGACTTCAGCACGTCTTTTTAAGTTTCTGGCCTTCAGTACATAATTTCCTCTCTGAATTTTAATTTTTTTTTTACTCCAATATTGTATTTGCAGATTTGAAATCCTCCCAAAATGTGTTTACGAATTGAAAGGTTTGGAAATACTTTTGGCTCGCGATAATCGTATCAAATCCATTAATGCCACCAGTGAAGGATTGGGTGCCCTCAAACGTTTAGCCATATTGGATTTGCGTAACAATGACATAGATCATGTGCCACCGATTTTGGGAAATCTAAAAAATATAACGTAAGTTCTATTTTCCACTCAATATTTGTTGAATCAAGTCTAATCTCTTTTCTCCAAATTTGTTTGCAGAACCCTGGAAATTATCGGAAATCCATTTAAATTGCCACGCCATCAGACACTGGAACGGGGTACCGAGGCCATAATGTCCTATTTACGTGATCGTATACCAGTTTAAAAACGTTCCAAAGACCAATACAATAACACACACCACATGAAGCGCAACAAAAACAAAACTAGCCACACACATAAAAAATAATCTGGCAGCACTATATGGGAAAGAGAGAGAAGGGGAAACAGAGCAGCTTATCATAGAATTTATTTATGTTTAAAAAATTTTAAAATAATGGATTATTTTTAAAAATACATATATATTTTTTTGTTATAAACAAAGAAAGAAGTAAAAAAACAAAATCGATATGCCAAAAAAACTAGTCATTATCACCAATAAATCGGTGTGTTTAAAAAGTGAGGTTATGGCGAACAAATAAAAAGGTGTATTGATTTTATGGGGAATGTAGTATATGGATAATATTACCCAATTACTTATAGACCAAAACATTAGGATAATGTTGCCCTGCATAAGCTAATAATATTATCATCGAGAAAAAATATCAGGATAATGCAGATCCCGACTTATTTAATATATTCCGCATATTTGTTTTCTTATGGAAAATTGATTGCAATTGATTTCCTCTTAAATAAAACAAAATGCTGTATTTTGCACACATCAATAAATTTGAAAAAGGTGTATATATTTTGTATTTTAGGCTACACAATATATTTGTTGTTATAGTATTTTTTTGCTAGGATCAAGTGGTGTTCATAAGGATTTTTTCATTTAATGAAAATATATATTTAATCTTTATACTTCTTTGTGATCAAATATAAGATTCAATTTAGGGGTTTTTTAATTCTGTTCCACAACTTCAGCCTTCAAACGTTTTGCCAACGTTTTTCTCAAAAGCAATGCCGAATCGGTTTCCACTTCTTCAGGTTTTTCCAAAACCGAATTTGGTTTGGAAACGTTTTCCAAAAGCTTCTGGGCCACCTGAGCCGACGATGGCCGGGTACTCTTTGCTGCAGACGTTCCAGGAACTGATGTATTCAATGATTTTGCAACCGTTTCTTGTAGCTGCTTGGCCCGAGTTTTCTTTTTCAGTTCGATAATTTTATCACGCTGTTCGCGCAAGTACTCTTGACGTGTTATCATTTCATCAGGATTTACCTAGAGGGGGAGAATAGGTCCATTATTTACTTTTTTAATTGTTTTTATATTTCTTATTACCTGCTGATTTTTCTCAAAGAATAGATTTAACCGCTCAAATTTCTCATTGACATCCTGTTCGGTGGCATCTGGCTCAGGTGTCACCGATGCCTCAGGGGTTTCCATTTCTTTGCCCACCGATTTGGCAATGAAATTTTCAACATCGTTGAATTTTTCACTGAAAATAAAAAGAGGAATAATAGTTATTAAACCCGGATATACAGATAAACATATCCGGATAATGAATTCAATTCTATGGACATATCCGTATAAAATTTTCTATATGAAAACTTTATCCGGATAAAGTTTCCTATATAAAAAGCTTATCCGGATAAAGTTTTCTATATGAAAATATTATTCTGATAAAGTTTTCTATATGAAAACCTCATCCGGATAAAGTTTTCTATATGAAAACGTTATCCGGATAACACTTTCTATAAGAAAAACCTTATCCGGATAAAGTTTTCTATAGGAAAACCTTATTCGGTTAAAGTTTCCTATACGAAAATTCTATCCGGATAAGGTTTTCATATAGGAAACTTTATCCGGATAAGATTTTCATATAGAAGACTTTATCCGGATAGGGTTTTCATATAGAAAATTTAATCCGGATAGAATTTTCGTATAGGAAACTTTAACCGAATAAGGTTTTCCTATAGAAAACTTTATCCGGATAAGGGGTTTCTTATAGAAAGTGTTATCCGGATAACGTTTTCATATAGAAAACTTTATCCGGATGAGGTTTTCATATAGAAAACTTTATCAGAATAATATTTTCTTATAGAAAACCTTATCCGGATAACATTTTCTATAAGAAAACCTTATCCGGATAACATTTTCTATATGAAAACCTTATCCATATAAAGTTTTCTATATGAAAACCTTATTCTATATGAAAACCTTATATATAGACTTCATATCATCTATATGGATTCCCTGGACTTCAGCACGTCTTTTTAAGTTTCTGGCCTTCAGTACATAATTTCCTCTCTGAATTTTAATTTTTTTTTTACTCCAATATTGTATTTGCAGATTTGAAATCCTCCCAAAATGTGTTTACGAATTGAAAGGTTTGGAAATACTTTTGGCTCGCGATAATCGTATCAAATCCATTAATGCCACCAGTGAAGGATTGGGTGCCCTCAAACGTTTAGCCATATTGGATTTGCGTAACAATGACATAGATCATGTGCCACCGATTTTGGGAAATCTAAAAAATATAACGTAAGTTCTATTTTCCACTCAATATTTGTTGAATCAAGTCTAATCTCTTTTCTCCAAATTTGTTTGCAGAACCCTGGAAATTATCGGAAATCCATTTAAATTGCCACGCCATCAGACACTGGAACGGGGTACCGAGGCCATAATGTCCTATTTACGTGATCGTATACCAGTTTAAAAACGTTCCAAAGACCAATACAATAACACACACCACATGAAGCGCAACAAAAACAAAACTAGCCACACACATAAAAAATAATCTGGCAGCACTATATGGGAAAGAGAGAGAAGGGGAAACAGAGCAGCTTATCATAGAATTTATTTATGTTTAAAAAATTTTAAAATAATGGATTATTTTTAAAAATACATATATATTTTTTTGTTATAAACAAAGAAAGAAGTAAAAAAACAAAATCGATATGCCAAAAAAACTAGTCATTATCACCAATAAATCGGTGTGTTTAAAAAGTGAGGTTATGGCGAACAAATAAAAAGGTGTATTGATTTTATGGGGAATGTAGTATATGGATAATATTACCCAATTACTTATAGACCAAAACATTAGGATAATGTTGCCCTGCATAAGCTAATAATATTATCATCGAGAAAAAATATCAGGATAATGCAGATCCCGACTTATTTAATATATTCCGCATATTTGTTTTCTTATGGAAAATTGATTGCAATTGATTTCCTCTTAAATAAAACAAAATGCTGTATTTTGCACACATCAATAAATTTGAAAAAGGTGTATATATTTTGTATTTTAGGCTACACAATATATTTGTTGTTATAGTATTTTTTTGCTAGGATCAAGTGGTGTTCATAAGGATTTTTTCATTTAATGAAAATATATATTTAATCTTTATACTTCTTTGTGATCAAATATAAGATTCAATTTAGGGGTTTTTTAATTCTGTTCCACAACTTCAGCCTTCAAACGTTTTGCCAACGTTTTTCTCAAAAGCAATGCCGAATCGGTTTCCACTTCTTCAGGTTTTTCCAAAACCGAATTTGGTTTGGAAACGTTTTCCAAAAGCTTCTGGGCCACCTGAGCCGACGATGGCCGGGTACTCTTTGCTGCAGACGTTCCAGGAACTGATGTATTCAATGATTTTGCAACCGTTTCTTGTAGCTGCTTGGCCCGAGTTTTCTTTTTCAGTTCGATAATTTTATCACGCTGTTCGCGCAAGTACTCTTGACGTGTTATCATTTCATCAGGATTTACCTAGAGGGGGAGAATAGGTCCATTATTTACTTTTTTAATTGTTTTTATATTTCTTATTACCTGCTGATTTTTCTCAAAGAATAGATTTAACCGCTCAAATTTCTCATTGACATCCTGTTCGGTGGCATCTGGCTCAGGTGTCACCGATGCCTCAGGGGTTTCCATTTCTTTGCCCACCGATTTGGCAATGAAATTTTCAACATCGTTGAATTTTTCACTGAAAATAAAAAGAGGAATAATAGTTATTAAACCCGGATATACAGATAAACATATCCGGATAATGAATTCAATTCTATGGACATATCCGTATAAAATTTTCTATATGAAAACTTTATCCGGATAAAGTTTCCTATATAAAAAGCTTATCCGGATAAAGTTTTCTATATGAAAATATTATTCTGATAAAGTTTTCTATATGAAAACCTCATCCGGATAAAGTTTTCTATATGAAAACGTTATCCGGATAACACTTTCTATAAGAAAAACCTTATCCGGATAAAGTTTTCTATAGGAAAACCTTATTCGGTTAAAGTTTCCTATACGAAAATTCTATCCGGATAAGGTTTTCATATAGGAAACTTTATCCGGATAAGATTTTCATATAGAAGACTTTATCCGGATAGGGTTTTCATATAGAAAATTTAATCCGGATAGAATTTTCGTATAGGAAACTTTAACCGAATAAGGTTTTCCTATAGAAAACTTTATCCGGATAAGGGGTTTCTTATAGAAAGTGTTATCCGGATAACGTTTTCATATAGAAAACTTTATCCGGATGAGGTTTTCATATAGAAAACTTTATCAGAATAATATTTTCTTATAGAAAACCTTATCCGGATAACATTTTCTATAAGAAAACCTTATCCGGATAACATTTTCTATATGAAAACCTTATCCATATAAAGTTTTCTATATGAAAACCTTATCCGGATAAAGTTTTCTATATGAAAAACTTATCCGGATAAGGCTTTCATATAGGAAACTTTATCCGGATAAGTTTTTCATATTCTCATTCTCTATAAGAAAACCTTATCCGGATAACATTTTCTATAAGAAAACCTTATCCGGATAACATTTTCTATAAGAAAGCCTTATCCGGATAACATTTTCTATAAGAAAACCTTATCCAGATAACAGTTTCTATAAGAAAACCTTATCCGAATAATATTTTTCTATATTTTCTATATGAAAACCTTATCCGGATAACATTTTCTATATGAAAACTTTTTCCGGATAAAGTTTTCTATATGAAAACCTTATCCGGATAAAGTTTCCTATATGAAAATCTTATCCGGATAACATTTTCTATAAGAAACCCTTATCCGGATAACATTTTCTATAAGAAATCCTTATCCGGTTAACATTTTGTATATGAAAACCTTATCCGGATAAAGTTTTCTATATGAAAACCTTATCCGGATAAAGTTTTCTATATGAAAACCTTATCCGGATAAAGGGTATCTACAGAAAAACTGTATCTCTATCTTACTTCTGTGACTGACGACCACTCTCACTGGGACTATCAAAACTTTCGCCCTGCTGAAACAAGGCCAATTGATTTTTCTCTATCAAATCCAATGCCTGTAGCTGTAATTCGACATTACGCTGAGTCATCATGCGTATGAAAATCTTTATGTCATTGGCAGCCCATATCTGAAATATGCAAATGACAAATTGAAAATCGCTTCTTCTTCCCATCAATTATATCCGCTCCACCCACCTGCTGAAATAAACCCTGATGAAATTGAAATGGATTATCCTTATGCTGTTGTCTACCCTCCAGACAGGCCATTTCAAATTGTTCCGGTGTTATTTGCATTTCTTCCATAAAACTGCCCAACATATAGTCGACGAGGTTTTTATAATCTTCATGAATACGCTTGACCTCGGGATTCTCTTCGTCCGGTTGTAAATTGGGATCGAAAACTGGCAAAAAGGAAAATTTTTTCTTACATGCAATTGAAATGGTTTATCTGACTGGAACTTACTCAACGATTTCTCTTCAATAAATGTCTGCAGTGGAGCATTCCAAACGGGTCCATGCAGAAAACACACCAAAGAATCAAAAACCCAGGAATCGTCACCAGCCATTGTGGATATTATTATTTTTTCCTCGCCTCCTTTTTTGTGATTCACTTTCTTCACTTTTGATTTAATGCGTAGTTCTCCTCTTATGGCTGTTGGACGTCTGACAATAGAATACCCCAACTGAGGTGGTTAGTCAGTCAGTCCTTTTTTGATTCGGTTGCCATGGTTTCATGTGACAGGGTAATTTAAGTTGCCACTGCAAGTTGGTTCAGCGGTGGCACGCTAATTTGCCTCGTATACTCATTAAATGAAATAGACGAGCTGGAATCCAGAGTCTATACAGACGAGCTGAAGACCAAAGAATGTATATAGATGAGCCAAGGAGAACACGAGGGATTTATAGACGGGTTGATAGCCAGGAGGTCTATATAGACACATTTAAGTAGAGATAGTCTATACAGACGAGCTGAGGTCTAAATTGTATATATAGATGAGCTATGTAGACGAATTGAAAACCAGGGAGTCTATATAGAAGGTCAGGGTGTATATATATATAAGAGCCGAAAGACCAGGCAGTAAATATAGACGAGACAATTATATTCTACACTGGATGAAGGGCAGAGAGTATATTCTATACGGGCTGAAGACCAGGGAGTCTAATGGACGAGTTAAAGGTCAGGGAGTGCATACAGATGAGCTGAAGGCTGGGAAGTATTTATAGACGAGCATAGGGCCAGAAGTCTATAAACATAATCTTAACACTGAAAGTTTTTGAAGACGAGCTGAAGGTCAGGCAGTCTATATATACTAGATAAAGACCAAGAAGTCTATGTATACGAGCTAAGGGTCATAGATTATTAATTTTTAGAAAATTGAGGTACGATTATCCTTTCAGAAACATAATCTAGAACCTGGGTCTTTTTTAGCGGTCAAAACGTACAGTGCTTGGCACCCATGACTTCTTGTTATTTCTGCACATCTAGAAAATATGTTTTTGGGGGAAAAAGTGAAGTGGAAAAGTGCCTTGACAATTGCTTTGCACGCATGCTCACGAATGCTATTTTTGAGATCTTGATTCGTTCACAAATCGTAGCACCAGGTGTGATAAATAACGTAACCTGGTTTGGTTCAGACCACCTCCTGTTTTCGTTAATAGAAACCAGAACCATTGAAAATCTGATTTCAGAGAGTTTTCCATGCACTCAGTTCCTCGGTTAGCTTAGAGGAATTTCCCGAAAATCGACACTACAGCTGTCGATGTTCATATATAGCTGCTGAAGAGTGAGTGAGTGCCGAGGAGGTACCACCACTATTTACAAAGTTATATGTTGCAGATCTTATCAAAAATGGTAAATCCTTCTAAAGGGTTGGACCTGGAATAACCATTACTGTTGTCGATGCAGTGTATGCGAAAATACTCCGTTTAAACACCTCAGAACGAATATAACTGTTGTCTGTCTGGCCTGCTGGGAAGGGAGTAACCGATTTAATCCAAACTTTACACATCGTGATATTTCTTCCAAACTAAGTTCAAGTTTGAAGATGGATGATATGCCAAAATGTTCAATATTTATAAATCCAATATCAGGCGAATGGAATGTCCGTGTTGAACCAAACTTTGTACAATGTATTATCTTTACCAAGCCTAGATCGAGTTCAAAGATGGGACCCATTGTTCCACTCGTTCTGGTACCTCCCCCACAAATGGTCAAACACCTATTATTATTAGCAACCCTAGATCAAGTCCTAAGATGGGACTCAATGGTCCACTCTATCTAGTACCTCCTCCACAAAGGTTCAAAATTTTTAATATTTATAAATCGAATATCAGGCGCATTGCATTGCACAATCTATTAACTTTACCAAGCCTAGATGAAGTCCGAAGATTGGACTCCTTCTGGTACATTCCCCACAAAGGGTCAATATTTTATAAACTTGGAAATTTAATATAAAGCGAATTGGATAACCAATTTGATCAACATTAAATCCAAAACCACCTTGATAAAATCATATACCTTATATAATGCGAATAATAAAACCAGTGTATAACTGCGAAGATACCCGCAAACCATAGGCTGAGGGTATATATTGTCTTCAACACCGACTGACACTTTTCGACCTATTAAATTTTATATGAAGCGAATGGAGTATCCGATCCGCTTAAATCAACTCAGAAGGCTGGAAACAATCGACCAATCCCGTCTGGTAAAAAGCATACGAAATCACAAACTGAAGGCATTTCAATTTATTTCCTGAAGACATTTTTTATTTTCTTCTTAGATGTATTTAAAGACTTAGAGGATAATAAAATTAATTGACATTTTGTGGTTATTAATTAATCCAAAAGTTCCAACGGCATTCAAAAGATTATATGTATGTATGTGTTCAAACCAATTTAGAAAATAAGGTAGATCTTGACCGATTGCATCCAAGCTCATGCGATAGCTATTCATGTACAGAATAACGTGTGAAAATTTGGAACTTAAACAATAAGTAGGCAATATCTTCAAGATTTGTTGAAATTTTAAAGGTACATTCTTAAATTTGTGTATTTTCGAATTAAATAAAAAAATTCATTGCAACTCCGATCATGTAGCTCATCTCGAAAGAGAAATTAATAAAAAACATTTACATGAATGATCCTTCGCTCTAAAACGGCATAAAAACAAAACTAAAAAATTCAGCTTGAGCTCGGCTGGGATTTGAACCCTGGTTCCCATGGCATCTGTTGATGTCCGGCGCCTTAACGTTTAAAGCCACCTCCTTATCTTCCTAAAGTGGCCCACACACGTCAAACATGTGCGTTCGATCGGTGTGAATCGAAGCAATGTTTGACGTGTGTGGTACGGTGTTCACACCAATTTGCCGGTGCGCACACCTATCGAAAGAAATTAAAAATTTTTAATTTTTCGTTGTGCGACGCGCACATGTTTGACGTCTGTGGCCTGGTGTGTGGATATTTTCTCATTTGTTGCGAAATTTCGTGGAGTGCGGATCAGTGGACAAATGCAATACATATGCATTTGGAAGATTTTTTGATGTTTTTTACACACATTCTACTGTGTGGCAAATAAAAATGTTTTTTCCCGGAATAAAATAAAAGTATTTAATACATTTATATTAAATAAAAATATTTCGTCTTTTTTCCGTCATCACTATCGCGGTCCATCTTCACACTTCAAAAATAAATATGAAATGAAGTTTAGTGGATCCGTTTGACGTGTGTGGGCTAGGAGCTTCACACCGATCGAACGCACATGTTTGAGGTGTGTGGCCCACTTAAGGTTGCACAATATGCAGTTACATACCATCAATGTTGCCAAAACTTGATTGAGAAAAAATTCTAGATTTTGTTGAAAAAGATGCTAAAAAGTGCTAAAAATTTTAGAAAAGTGCCAGAAAAAAGTGCTAAAAATAAATTTAAGGAAATTTGATTATAGTTTAAAATGAGATCTATATTTCTTAAAATAGAAATTAACACCTATGCTGAAAGGTATTATAAGTGTTTGTGTTTCAACAGTTTGTAACTCCATGAAATATTGGTCCTGGTCGGTCCGAGTCGTTATATCTCGACTAAGTGAGTCGATATAGATGTGTGTGTCTATCCCTCTGTCCATTACCATTTGTAAACAAAATAACGGTCACCGCTGTGCAACAATTTTTACGTTATTTTGCATATCGGGTTCTGGCCAGTGAAGACACTTATTGAAGTCAACCAAAAGCATCTTATATGTTTTCCGGGTCTCTTTAGAGGTCACAAAGTTGTGCATGGGGAAAACGCTAATTAATAATCATATTGAGCAAATCAAATTGACCAGCACTATTGTGTGAAAAAATACAAAATGTGCATTCTATGCTGTATGCATTCATCTAGAAGAACAGAGACCGGGTGTGAAAGCTATGCGTAAATTTTTACAGGGGTCTATAATATTTAGTATTACCACACTAGATGATAGCTATGCAATTTTGCATAAAGTACCGGTTATGGTGAAGTGTGACATCTATGTATAGTTTTGAAGAAACGTTTTTTTTTTTTTTTTTGACTAGATGTCATTTTTATAACCCGAACACTAATAAACCAATAAAAGAAAAAGCATGCTTTGATAATGATCCGTCAATATATTTTTAAATAAATGAACAAAGACTTTAGAAAGACAATTAAAACCAGTAAGGGAAGTAGTAAAGTCGGACGTCGCCGACTATATGACACACTTCACCACTTTGGGTATATTCAACAGATGAATCCCAACAGACGTGAAGGACCGTAAACACGAAAATGGATCCATAAACATGTCATTCTGCAATCTATACTAAATTTTTCATTTGATTACATATAGAGTTGCTATATATATATATATATATATATAATGTGATCTGTTTTCAATGAGACTTGCTAGAGATTAACTTATATTAACTACAGTTCATTGTAAAAATTTTGTGACAATCGGACAAACATTGGGTCTTTAGTGCACAATTTGCATAAAATCGGAAGAAAAAATATAGAGGAGCTATATCTAAATCTGAACCGATTTTCACGACACTTAAAATCGGTTCAGATTTAGATATAGCTCCTCTATCTCCTCCTCATTCTAGACCTAATTCATTACGCTATGCCGTGCAAATCGAAAGATATATATTGACTTTGGTGCACCATTTACATAAAATTGGAGGAAAATATATATGGGAACTATATCTAAATCTAAATCATTATTGCCAAATTTCGTGCAAATCGAAATATATATAGGGACTTTGATACACAATTTACATTAAATCGGACGAAAATATATATGGGAGCTATATCTAAATCTGGACCGATTTTCAGGAAACTTGACACACATCAGTCCAGACCTAATTCATTACGCTATGCCAAATTTCGTGCAAATCGAAGGATATATAGGAACATTGGTACACAATTTACATTAAATCGGACGAAAATATATATGGGAGCTATATGTAAATCTGAACCGATTATTCTCAATTTCAATAGGGTTCGTCCTTGGGCCAAATAAGTGACCTATGCCAAATTTCACCCAATCCGGATCATAAATGCGACCTGTACTTTG